GTTGCTGTAGTTGAATACCATTGACTTTTCTTAGCTTAAGAATGCGGTTCCTCTGACTTTTCTTTTTAAGTTTAAGATTATGCAAGAGGTAATTACCTACAGATAATTTCCCATATCTGGGATATGTTACTTTACTTGTAAGCGAATGAATAATAACCATTCAGATACCTCTTTTTAAACTTTCCCCCAACCTCTCTAACAGTAAATACGAAGAAATGAAAAAGCAGTGCTTTCATGCTTAGTGTAGCATTACCATATCTCATCACCCACCTTTTCCTAAGAGCAGTCTGGTGAGCCACTTCAAGATTTTGTGAGGTCTTTGGAAATCAATCTAGCGGCAAAATGCCACAAGGCAGGAAGTGTCCATGGTACTCTTATTCACCATGGTTTTCAGACACCTAAACATTGCCCAGCACATAGGAGAAGGGCAGTGAATCCCTACTTAAGGACTATATTGGGTATTGTCTTGTGGGTTTCTGGGGTTTGAAATAGATCCAAGAAAACTAATATGTGAAGCCACCTAGGGCTGCACTATCCAATCAGGTAACCACTAATGATATGTGGCTATTTAAATTCAGTTGATTTAAATGGATTGAAGTTAAAAATTCAGTTCCTCATTCTCACTAGGTACTTTTCAAGTGCTCAGTATCCTCATGTGGCTGCCATATTGGACAGCAGAGATATTGAATATTTCCATCATTACAGAAAGTTGTGTTAGACAATGCTAGCAGAATAGCAGTAGTAGAGGCCTAAATTAGTGTCTTTTTAAAGTAAAATTCCCATGTGACCCTAATGTGCACTCATAATGCCAAAAAGAGCCCCTCTTACACATCTCCCCTCCACACTGTAGGAACTTAGCCGAGCAAGGTGGTTGGCCCTCCGTGGTGGCCGTCTCTTTGAGACTGATGGACAAACAACAGTAAAACTGTTAGCAAGACTGACAGCTGGTATATACTTATTTGGCTATACCAGTTGTTAATGTTATAAAGTACTTGTACCAGTTAATAAAGACCTGCTAGCTTAAGTTTCTTTGGTATTTCCTTCCAATGCCCAAGAGGCCCTGGCCATTCCTTTAGGATTTCACCAACCTCCCCTCAGTCCAGCAAAAATGAGTTAGTTAATGTCTAGCTCACCTCTGGGAGTTGGGGGCTGCTCAAGGACTCTGTGCCAGCACTGCAGGCCTCAGACTGATAGATGCTACCTTTAACCTCATGGTTCCTTGGCCTCCAGGAGGGATTACTTCCTAAGGCACTCCCATCACTACCATGGCCATGTCCTACATCACAGATCCATTGGCTTCCAGAAGACCTTAAAGTCATTTCATCCAACCTCCTCATTTTACTGAAGAAATCAAGACCCAGAGAGTCAGACAGCTAGTTTATAGCCAATTTAGAAATAAAACAGATCTTCTAACTTAGCACTTTTTTTTGTTACATCTTCTTGTGTTCTTTTCCTGAACTATGAAATGGCGATTAATATCTTTATGCCTCACAGAGTTGTTTAGTTAAAAAAAAAAAAGATACCTAATATTTTATGTATGTCTTATAATCTGCAAAAAAAAAAAAAAAAAAAAAAAACACTCTGTATACATTCTCATGTGATCCCCACAAGAACCTGCGAGAGATAGTAGGCTCCGAGGCAGTGAGTGGGGTGCCCAGCATAACAAAGCTACTGTGAGTGGGAAAGTCTGTATCTCTGTGGCTTGGAAAACTATAAACTCTTTTGTAAATGTAAGCTAATATACCATGTGGCAATACTTGCTTTTAGCTTGCGGTGTTTTGCAGTTCAGGATTTAGTGACATTGAAAGTAATAACTTTGTTCAAGTGCAAATGATGCAATGTGTGTATATATATATACATATGTATTTTTTTACTTTGACAGTGTGCCAATTGCACAGACTTTGGTTCAGCATTGAAACAGAAGTGGGTTGCTTTGAATATATTTTTAAAATGAGAGAATCCAAATTTGTAATTAGCTTTACAATGATAGTTGTACAGTTTGAGTATCAAGGAGCATCCGGTAATCGTTTGTGTTATTAATGGTGGTTTGTTTTTTGTATTTCCCCTGAAGCAGTTAGGCCCTTTGGAAAAAGCAAAACATACTCTTTGAGGGGTTATTTCTTCTATTCCCATTTTATTTTTCACACCCTGTAGCTCTGGTCTGCTTAAAAACTTAGTCATATACCTGAATGTGGCAAAGAAAAATCATTTATTAGCTATTCTACCTGCTTTGACACCTAATTATCAGGAAAATGATGCTTACATTATGAAGTAAAGCCACAGTGAAGGAAATGGTCCACTTCTCTTTGGTCTTTTGATCATTTTGATAGAAACAGTCCTTATTTTTACATAAGATTGTTGGGAATGATCAATTTAACTCACTCCCAAAATAAGATTGAAATTTTTGCACCCCCTCTCCTCAAACCATAACCATCTTATAGTATTAGTGGGTGCAGAAATTGAGTTTATACATCAGTTAAAGAGTGAGGTTATTTCATTTAATATAACAAACCACTTCAATTTGCTTTTATTAGCATATGAAAATTGTGGCATTCTCTACACCAATTATCCTGTAAGGTTAAATATACATAAAGGGGAAAGAGAAAGAAAGATTATTAGGAAAAGCTATAAATCTAAAATAACCTGGTGCTGTAAGACCTGCTTTAGCATTCCTAATTCGTAGCCACATTTGGGAAGAATGTGTTTGTATGTTTCTTTTTTCAAGTGTGTATTTTATCTGTGTCTTCATGTATTTCTCCATGTATAACCTGTTTTATGTTATATAACACTCTCACCTCATCCTTCTCTATTGTGCTCAAAGAGCTGTAGCCTTCCCCATGTCAATATAGGACTTTCAAAGGGCTTACTATTGTCTAGAATTTTCTTAGACTTTCTCTGCTTCGTTTAGATGCTATAGATGGTACTGACCAAAAAGTGGAAAGATCAAGCTTGTGATTTATAGCTAGACTTGGAGTCAACATAGTAATGAGACACTAGGCTTGAAAAGATCTTTGAAATTCTGAAGCTCAAATTCCTACAAACTTATTGGGGCATAAGGAGGACCAATGAGTGAGCACATACTTTCAAACTTGCCAGCCACCAGTTTTGATACCAATGCACTTGGCGTTAAATGAGATAATGCATACAAGGACCTGGCATTGGAGTGGACACACTGTAATCATGCGTAAGGGTTAGCCATTATTATTAGCTATTCTGATTTGATTTTGTCTTCGCATCTTTTTCTGCTTTCTGATGCCATGCTGAGGAACAGCAAAATGTCCAAGAAATAGGAAAACACCAGAAGGAAGGGAAATACAAGGCCTCACTACTCTAGAAGCTGAATTATCAACCCACAAATAAGCAGTTGTTTTTCCTCTCATGATGTTATGTGAATTATTTCTGAATTCTCTCACATGCTTTTCCATGTGAAGACTCGATGGACAAGTCACAGCTCCCCCACTGTCCACGTCTAACTCAGTCTGGCCTAGTGAGGGTCATTTGATGGTAAACTTAAATTAACTCCATTTCTCTCTTGTTATGTGAAAAACAGCAAGCTGTTTACTATCTTCTGTGTTAGGAAAACATAAATAAAATCTCTTACATTTGGTCATGATTGATTAGAATTTTGTTAAGTTGCGTGAGGAGCAAGTGTATTTTTCTCTGTCTATGATAAGGTTCGTAATTAACCAGGCATTTGTGCTGCTGGAAAAAATATAAATTGGTGCAACCTTTCTAGAAAATCAAGACTCTCAATGTTTATGCCCTTTCATGCAATAATTCCTTTTCTAGGAACCTGCGTAAGAAAATGTTCAGAAGTTTAGACAATCGGATATTCAGAAACGTCCCCTAAAGTGTTATTTACAATAACAAAGAAAAAAACAATCTGCAATTCCAAAAATGAGGGAAATAAATACATAAGATATATTTCTATGGGATATAATACACATGAACTTTAAAAAACATGTTTTTGAATAATTTTAATAACTTGGGGAAACACTCATATTGATATAACTCAAATTTTATTTCAGAATTGAATGAAAAAGTAGAAACAATACTCTGAGTATGTGCATGTATCTGAAAAGAATACTGGTCCACAATCCCTTATCTCTAATTCCAAATCCAAAAGTTTTCAGAAATCAAAAGGGGTTGTGTTTTGTTTTATTTTTAGTAACTTCTTTGGTAGGAAAACCTGGCCTGAACTAATGTGAGGCTCTGTTTTACCCCCACTTAATAAGAATATGCATCTATTTTTGTGCAGAAATATTTAATGTTTAATATTATAGGGTGCTGCTCCATACTCTCACAAGATAATAATGTAATAAATGGTAGCTGCACTGTAATACTCTCTAAAATCCAAAAAATTCTGAATTCTGAAACATATCTGGCCCCAAGAGTTTCGGTAAAGGAGTTTTGGACTCATACAACAAAGCATCATTAGTGATTTATCGGTGTCAAGGTTACCATTGATCTTTATTTTTTTTCTTTATTTTTCTGTATGTTTCAAATGTTCTACAATAAGTTCTACGAAACACATTTGAGGCATCAGGGAATCATCTCATTTCAGTCAGAATTCTTAAATTAATCATTTGCTTCCTGAATATCTTGTATTTACAATGGCCACATGTGTCTTTTAAACCAAGGTGTTCTGATTTGCTGATAGAAAACGTGAGATGAAATAGAGAAGATGATAATTACTGGACATGGAGCTATCTCCTAGGCTGCATTTGGATTCAGGAGAGACCCTCGTGAGGGCTGCTCGCCTAAAGGAGATACCTCAAGGAATAGGGCTTCTACCAGGCAGAGCCCAGGCATTTATACCACGGGCTGTGGTGTCATATTCTGTTCATGAGGATTGGTCAAGAGGCCCACAGCCCGAGGCGCAGACAGTTGTGTGAGATCATAACAAGCAGAACGGAGTATGGCGAGATAGCAGGAGGGACGGGGAAACATTCACATGCATACTTTCATCTGCTAATGAACAACTTTTCCTACCCAATTAGGTGGACACTCACTGACCTGTCAAAAGGTTGCCCCACAAAACTTTGGGGTCCATGTCTGAATGGATTGCCGGAGCCTTCTCATCTCTCCCTTCGCCCAGTTCCCTGCATCCTAAGACTCGAAGCCAGCACAGGACCTGGAAAAATTACATGTAAGTTTTGACCAGGTTTATATTCCTTAACTAAACAATAATAAATATTTTCTTAGGTGATAGTAACAAACAGCCCAAGCACACATGAATTCCTTTTTTTTTTTTTTTTTTTTTTTTTTAAACAAAGGAACTGGAGAGTTATCATTGAGTAAAGGAGCAAAGGTTGGAGTCTGTATATTGGTGGTTCCTTAACTCAGTGGCTCTTAAATTTCAGCTTGAATCAGAATCACCTGGAGGGCTTGTTGAAGTACAGCTTGTTGGGCCTCATGCCCAGATTTCTGATTCAGTAGCTCTGGTACAGGCCAGGAATTTGCTTTTCTAACAAGTTTCCAAGTGAGGCTGATGCAGCTGGTCCAGGGACCCCAATTTGAGAATCACTGTTTTAACTCATGTGCTTGAAAGGATAAAAAAGATAGAAAACTGTATATACTTGAGTGATAAATAGCATTAAATTAAGAAATTTAATGCTTTGCTTAATACACTGTGTCTCAGAAAAGAGTTTTAAGGTTCACTTAGCACCTTCACATTTGGAAGTCCAGCCCAGCAGATGCCATTATTCTGTGCCAGCTTTACCCCAGAGTTGCTAGTACCAGCCATTCTTTGTCCCTAGTTTTCAACAAGTGTGACTAATAGTACTGTTATTAGGCTAAAACAACAGCTACAGTCCTTTTGCAGGTGTGCTCATCATGCTTTTAGACATACTCAAAAATCTTTTTTCCCCTGAGTTGGGAAATACATTGTTCCCTTTCAGAGTGAGTCATCATAGCATTATCCCTCCCCTCACACACTTAAATGTGATTTGATTTACAAAACACATGTGGGACAGAAAGACAAACATCACATGTTCTCACTCATGGGATCTAAAAATCAAATTTGAACTCCTGGACATAGAGGGTAGAAGGATAGCTACTGTAAGCCAGGAAGGGTAGTGGGGGTTGGGGGCAGGGCGTGGAGGCAGGATGGTTAATAGGTACAAAAAAAAGAAAGAAAGAATGAATATGACCTACTATTTGACAGTATAGTAGAGTGACTATAGTCAATAATAACTCACATTTTGTAATAAGGAGTATAAGTGGATTGTTTGTAACTCAAAGGATAAATGCTTGAGGGGATGATTACCCCATTCTCCATGATGTGCTCATTTTATATTGCATGCCTGTGTCAAAACATCTCATGTACCTCACAAATATACACACCTACTGTATACCCACAAAAGTTAAAAATAAAAAAAAAAAAAACACCTGGGAAGGGAAGCACAGCTCCAGTGAATAACCCAAGCCAGGAAGTCCAGGTGTGTGAGATTTTAAGTTCTCAAGACTGAAAAACTTTGTGAATCATCATGTTGTGGTGTTAGCTTTCAAACAGGCCCATTGCCTAACTGCTGAGGACAAGAACAATTTATTCCATGTTAATAGAAAAAAGTGGAAAAGTTTGACTAAACAAATGCACATTTGGACACATGTAAGCATACATACAAATGTACATGTGTACCTGTGAATAGATATATGCATTGTATATTTCTTAGCTTTGACTGTAGGAGTTTTAAACAGCATTTTTTCTTTTGTTTCACTGAGTCGATGTGAGTGTAAAAATAGTATGAATCATACTGTCCAGGAAACATTTGAGAAATTTCTGGGCATTTTAAACCTGTGGATAAGCACTGTGGTTTATAACATTTTACTTGGATATGGTAGATGTTATCATTCAAAGTAGCACTTAGGATTTTCAGTTCTCTTATTATAACTCTGGAGTTGAGAATAATCACTGTTAATAAAGCAGTTGCCAAGCAAATATGTAATGAAAGAACATATGTATTGCCTCAACATTAATAGAGTCAAAAATCCTGGATATAGACTTAAATGTACAGTAGGTGTATGTTAAAATGTTTAAAATAAAACCCACAGTATCAGAAAAATAAGACAAAAACCAGTAAGTGTTAAAAGTGATCTATAATGGAATTAACCCAGAGATGCCTTCTGGGGGCTGTCCAAAGGGTAACAGGGCTGGGATTAGGGCTGACAGAGTTGTGAGTGATGTAATTATTATTACTCCACCCTCAAAAATATACCATCTCCAACAAGCACTAGTCATTCTGCCCTGCATTCCTGGAAGGAAGGTTATCAGTTTATGAGGCATCTTCACCATAACGTGAAAGAAGCAGGTCGGGTCAAATGCCCCTTAGTGCCCTCTCCTGCTCTGCCACTCTGCAGATCTCCACGTTTGCACATCCAGTGTTCCTGTGGGATGACCTTTGCTGTCAGTCAGTTTCCTGTCTACAGGTCAGGAAGGAAAGAAGTTGTTGTGACTCCTTAGGTGAATCCTGGCTTCAGGCTCCTGCTGGATCTGGCAGGACCTGCCTGGATCACTCCCCATAGCTTTGGACATAGCGTTCAATCACCGAGTGAGTATAAAACTGAATCTTGTGGGGCAGAGGGCGACAGGGGGCATGTGGGAAACTTCTGTACTTTCTGCTCAGTTTTACTGTGAACCTAAAACTGCTCTTTAAGATAAAGCTTATGAATTTAAAAAATTAAATACTAAACAGTATGGCAATTCCTCAAAAAAAATTAAACAAGATTACCAAGTGATCCAGCAATTCCACTTCTGGGTATATTCCAAAAGAAGTGAAAGTAGGGATTTGAGCAGATAGATGTGTGTACACCCGTATTCATAGCAGCATTATTCACAGTAGCCAGAGGTGGATACAACCCAGGTGTCCATCAACAGAAAATCGATAAACAAAATGTGGTATATATTAATACATACAATGGAATATTATTCAGCCTTTAAAAAGATGAAATTCTGACACACGCTAACCACGTGGAGGAACCTTGAAGATGCCAAGTGAAATAATCCAGACACAAAAAAGCAAATATTAAATATCCCGTTTATATGAGGTACCTAGAACTGTCAGATTTACAGAGTCAGAAAGTAGAATGGTGGTTGCCAGGGGATGGGAGGATGGAAAAATTGGAAGTTGTTGTTCAATGGATATTAAGTATCAGTTTGGGAAGATTGGAGAGTTCTGGAGATGAATGAAAATGATAGTTGCACAGCAATGTGAATGTATTTAATGCCACTGAAATGCACACTTAAAAATGGGTAAAATGGTAAATTTTATGTTGTATATATTTTACCATAATTTTTAAAGCTTTCCTTCTAAGAATGCTGCGCAGAATCACTAGCTAGTGCTTGATAGGGATGCTGCAGTTCGTGAGGGTGCAGGAAGAACCAATCATTATGTCTCTCACACCTCCCTCATCCCTGTTACCCTTTGGGCAGCCCTTAGAAGACAACAAAGGTAAGGGATCCACTGAATGGTATATACTTCAGTCCCAGGAATGAGTTTCCTATCAGAGTAAAGACACAGTTGTCAGAAGCCATCAAGGGAATTTGCCTTAAACAACTGTGGTCTCTACTAAAATGCCATTTACACATCTAGAAGACCTGCTTCACTGGGGCGAAGGAAAGCGTAAGCCACCCATGCTTCAGCAGTGGGGCTGCTCCATTTCCTCCAGATGGGTGTTTGTAAACCAGTCCATGCACAGAGCACTGGCATGGAGAGAGTCCCGGAGCTGTGTACCTGACTGTGGCTCCTGAAGGGTCTTAATCAGCGGAGGTGGACATGTCGGCAGGAACCAGGGAATGCAGACTTGCTGTAGATTCCAGCACAGTAGAAAATGAAAGCTTTGAGAGGAAATCCACAACGGATAGTTCTCCCGCTGTAGGGCCTATGATGATTATGATGCCTGTTTTACATTCTCCAAGTGAAGCAGGATTTATCCCCCATCACCAAATCTCTGTACTTACAGGTATTACGGTACTGGTAAGTCACAGACAGGTTAGTGAGTGGCCTGTAGTCCTGTGAGGAACACACAGGATGGAATTCACTAGGTTAGTCCATTGTGCCCTACTTTTTTTGGCTTTTGCCTTTTATTCTACATTTCTAGAAATTTGGCCTTGAAAAACAATCAACAGTTTTATGGGGCCTAGTAGCCATACTTTATTCAGGTCGTCTTCACTCCCTTCACCCTCTACCCCTAGGGCTGGCCAGGGATTAGAATTCCTGAAGAGTCGTATATAAGGATCCATGGTTTCAAAAAGTTCAGACACTGCTATCCTAAATTATCCTACTTTCTCCTTAAGATACCGGTATATATATAGTCTATTACAGAGGCCCTATAGCAGAACCATTATACATAATTTGGCTTAAGGAAAAGGTGTAACTGAAAAGAGGTAAAATGAATTTGTTAAAGTACAATATATATAAATCAGTCCACTCATTCTCATGCCAGACTTTCCAAACCTGCTTAGAAAGAAACTCTTCATGCTTTTCACTTAGGTATTGGAAAACAGGGCAAAGGAAAAGAGGTTTCTGAGTCAGTTGCCATGGGGAGCTGCCGAGATACAAAAAAAAAAAAAAAAAACCTGGAATTAAAGGTTTTTGTAGAGGAAAAAATTCAGGTCAGCAAGTCTAAGGGAGAGGAAAGTAAGGACTTACTCATCTTTGACATCCACCCTAAGCTTGAGTTGAAAGGGCATGGATATGGAATCTAATCAAAATAAACTCCCCCCCGACACAATGAGTTCACAGACCATAATTTTTGTACAGACACACTGACACAGATTTTCCCCAGAGAAGAACATCAAACCAGCCATCACCGAGATAAAATGACATAAGGTAGAGAAGACCAACAAAGACAGACCCTGGTGGGATCTCCTTGTCTCCTTGTCTCATCATTCACAGGAATCAGATGTGCCTGGTTCCAGACATTGAATTTATGTTTACCGATGGCTTTGCTACCTGGAACCCAACTAGCCAGAACCCTGAATTAGCTAACCTTCATACTTCCCCACCCCCTGCCCTTCCCTCCCACACACCCCACCCTACCGCACATACCACACTTCCCTTTTTCAGTGATGAAGAAAACAAGATAGCTTTGGTTTTGAGTAAAGGTGGAGTGTAAACCCTGGAGGATACTTGTAGCTGATAACACTGA